CCCAAGCCCTGTCCCTGAGATCTTCAGCTCAAGGCTAATGTGCTAGCCCTTTGAGCACAGCACCACTTCTAGTTTTCTGATGGTTAATTGGAGATAAGAGTCTCATGGTGGACTTTCCTGCCCAGGCTGGCTTTGAATTACGATCCTCAGTTCTCAGCCTCCTGAATTGCTAAGATTACAGGCATGAACCACTAGTACTTGGCCTGAAGTGTCTTAAATTTTAATGAGGTCATATACCTAACTTTTGTTTTATGTTTTGCACATATTACCCTTTTTAAAGGCTTTCTCTATTTTCCTCTGATAATTTTGGAGGGCTTTAGTTTCATTTTTAGGTCTTTTTTTCACATCTGATTTTTTTTTAATTTCATGACTCTAATCTTAATCTTTTCCTTAATCTTTCCTTAGGAACCATTTGACCTATGAAAAACCAACTTATGACAGGTACTGCCAGTGTTGTAATCCTAGCTACTCAGAAGGCTGAGATCTGAAGATTGCTGTTCAAATCCAGTAGGGGCAGAAAACTCCATGAGACTCTTTCTCCAATTAACCACCAGAAAATGGAATTGGCAGCACTGTGGCTCAAGTGGTAGAGTGCTTGCCTTGAGCTGAAGAGCTGAGGGACAGAGCCCAGGGCCAGAGTTCAAGACCTATGACCAAAACAACAACAAAGAAAAAAAATTGAAAGAAAATTGAAAAACAAAGACAAAGAAAAGTAATTCATCCTACTAGTTATCTAAAATTTGTAAGTTTAATTAGAAATTTAGCTATTAACTTAAAGTGTATTATTGGAAGAGGAAAATAGATCTTAAAATATAAGGTAAAACAGAAAAAAGAAGACTAGAAACAACACTATGCATGTAAAATAAGTTGGTCTTTTTTTTTGGGGGGGGGGGGAAGGGGTGGGTCGTGGGGCTTGAACTCTGTGCCTTGGCACTGTCCTTCAGCTCTTCAGCTTCAAGGCTAGCACTCTACCACTTGAGCCACAGCATCACTTCCAGTTAATTGGACATAAGTCTCACAGACTTTCCTGCCCATCTGGCTTTGAACTATGATCCTCAAATCTCAGCCTCCTGAGTAGCTAGGATTACAGGCATGAGCTACTGGTGTCCAGCTGTGAGTTAATTTTTATAAATAGTAAAATGTGAGGGCCAAAGTTCTCATTTTTTTAATTTTTATTTTATTGTAAAGATGGTGTACAGAGGGGTTACAGTTACCTAAGTAAGGAAATGAATACAATTCTTATAGAACTAAGGTTCTCTTTTTGTACAGGTGTGAGCCACCAATGCCCTGTCCTGTTTTTCAAATTTATCTTAGCTACCTGTACATCTTTTCATCCGTACAAATCTTTAATACATTTCCAAAAAAAAGGTTTTGCAGAGATTTTTTTGTTGAATTACATTAAACTTATAGATTAATTTGGGAACAATTCATATTCTTATAATTAAGTCTTCACAAGCATAGTATGTATATGGTTCTTCTATACTTATTTTTTAAAGGAAATCTCTTATTTTTATATTTTTCTGTGGCCCTAATAAGTGCTATGTATTTTTCCAGACATACTATAACAGGAAACAATCTCAATTCTAGTAGTTTATCATATAGATGGTAAGATAAGATGAAAAGTTAAATACAGTGAGATTAAGTTAATACAAAAAAATAGATATACTATATTAAATTTCAGAAGATTGTCAAATTACCTGAAGAAACAATAATTATTTGGGGAATCAGAGCAAAAATTGTGAAACACGTCTATTTCATATAGTTCTTAGAGAACAAGTAGAATTCAGACAGTCTCATAGGCTTGGGAAGGTCATTTCAGTTAGATTGAAAAACTTAGCAAAAACCCAAAAGCTGGAAAGTACAAAACTTTTTCATAGAACAATGAAAAAAATCTGGGGGGCTGGGAAGGTGGCTCAGTGGTAGAGCGCTTGCCTTGCACACATGAGGGCCTGGGTTCGATTCCTCAGCACCACATAAGCAAAAAGAAAAAAAAGCCGGAAGTGGCGCTGTGGCTCAAGTGGTAGAGCGCTAGCCTTGAGCTGAAGAGCTGAGGGACAGCGCCAGGCCCAGAGTTCAGGCCCCACGACCGGACCCAAAAAAAAAAAAAAAGAAAAGAAAAGAAAAAAATCTGGTTGTCTGAAATACTGGAAAATAAAGATTAGAAAGTTATCTTAAAGTTGGATTTTTTTCAGTGCTAGGAATCAAATCCAGTACCTTGCTTTTGCATGCAGTCTACCCTAAGCAACACCCCCAACCTTGTGAATAATCTCAAATGCCAAGTTAAGTATAGTTTAACAGACAGTATGGTCAATGAAAAACCAAGTCAGTGGAGGTCAATATGCATTGGTATAGTATGAAAACACTACTTTTCATATAAACTACTTTTCACATCTTTCCTCCATTAGTCTAGGCTTTGTACTTAGCACTTTATAGATCTTAGATAAATGTTTCCTCAGTGAATGAATGGATAAACTGGCTATGATGTGGAGAATCTATTTGAAGGGAAGAAATGGAAGACACACCAACTTCTTATGAATATATTCCAATAACGTTATTATGGTATTCTCAATTTGGATAATGATAATAGGGGACTTTTCCTCATGTACTGTTTCTATCCAATTGTTTCTAAAAACTGATACAATGAATATTAACATTGATGCTGTATCTTAGATTAACAAGGTGACCTTTTGTGGGGGGGATAGGTATGAAGCTACATTTTGTGATTTCTAACACATTTGCCATTTTTAAAGAAATACAAACAAACTATTTTTGAGGCACTATATGTACATATATGGAATTTTGAAAGTTACTGAGTTGTTTCAGACTATCTGGACATTAGGAATGGGAAAAAAACTTACATGAAGCTGGGAACTGATACAGAGAAAGCTGCAGGAAGATAAGGAGGCAAGGACATTGAATGACAATGATACTTAAAATTGGTACTTTTTCAGCTGAGAAATAAAGCATTGCTGAAGAAAATTGACTGAATTGGGCTAGTGGAAAGTACTACCATTTCAATTTCAATTGGTTCCTAAATGCTACTTAGTAACCCTATTATTTATCCCTAACTGATTAATACATTTATCTTCATTTTATTATATTAGGAATGGTTCAGAAAAGTTGTATCTTAATCAAGGCCACTAGCAAATCTGTAAGAACCAGGAATGAAATTCAGTTTGTTGAATTCTGAATGCCCAGGAGACAAAGAACTGTATAAGGCCTGCATCAAAGTGATCATATATTATCTTTCCTGGAAAGGGATTAAAGTTAGCCAGAATGGGCTAATTGGGTTGATTAACTTAGAAAGGAATGAGCTATTAGATCTCCAAATAAAATATGAAAACCACTCCCTTGTTTGTAGACAAGTAGTAAAACTGGAAAAACATCACAAGAGGAACAGCCAGGCAGTGGTGGCTCATGCCTGTAATCCTACCTACTCAGGAGGCTGAGATCTGAGGATCAAAGTAAGAAGGCAGCCCAGGTAGGAAAGCCAGTTAGACTCTTATTTCCAATTAACCACCCGCCCCCCAAAAGCCAAAAGTGTAGCTATGGTTCATAGAGTGCTAGCCCTGAGCAAAGAACCTTGGGGTCAGGTCCTGAGTTAATGCTCCAGGACTGGTATGCGTGCACACACACACACACACACACACACACACAAATATTAATAATATGAGGAGGAAGAAACAGGAGGAGAAGGACAAGCCGTAGTGATTTGTGGCAAGAGACTAGAAATATCAGCAGGCAGGATAATAATGAAACCCAAAGTAAGGACTTCTGTATATGTGACTTGTGTGGAGTAAATATGACGGTTAATATTGTTATTGAGAGCTATGTGAGGTAATTGTTGACATTTCCAGCTCTTCAAAATCAGCGTAAACATTGGCTCAGATTGAAACAATACCAGTTTGTTGATGTTAGAACTGCTATTCTAATGTTTTAAATACAAAGGTCAATGTACAGACACCTGAAGTATATAGTCTATTTCTAGAAACAGACATTTAACAGCACATAAATATATAAATACAGATGCTAATGATGTGGCATGAGAGACATTTGGGAATGTGGATGTTATTCCAACATGAAGATAATCCAGTCTATATCTAGTGTACTTGCTGTTCCCACCTGCTATGTTGATAGGAACAGCAAGTACACTAGATTGATTAGAACACAAAGTTTATGTGAAGAAGTGAGACAAACTGGAGGGATGATAGGAGACACTGTAAAAAGCTTTAACATGCTAATTAAATGAATCTGAATGTTCTTAAATTAGCATACTTTCTTAGTTTTTTTTTTGTTTTTTGATCGGTCATGGGGCTTGAACTCTGGGCCTGGGCGCTGTCCCTCAGCTCTTCAGCTCTACCCTTGCGCCACAGCACCACCTCTGGTTTTTCTGGTGGTTAATTGGAGAGAAGAGTCTCACAAACTTTCCTGCCCAGGCTGGCTTTGAACCATGATCCTCATATCTCAACCTCCTGAGTAGCTAGGATTATAGGCACGAGCCACTAGCACCTGGCCAGAGATTCTTTAAACAGTCAAATAAATGTTTTAGGAAGATTAATCAGACAGAAGCGTATAGGAAGAATCAGGAAAATAGACTCTGGAAGCAGAGGATGAATTATAGGCTATAGCAAAAGTGTAAGAAAGTGATAAAAAAGCTTGTAAGGATCTGGGTACCAGTAGTCAACACCTAATTCTAGCTCATCAGCAGACTGAGATCAGAGGATCACAGTTTGAAGTCAGGCCAGGCAGGAAAGTCCATGAGATTCTTTTCTCCAATTAAGCACCAAAAAAAAAACAAAAACAAAAACAAAGTAAAAGTAGGATTATGCCTGTAACCCTAGCTACTCAAGAGACTGAGATCTGAGGATTGTAGTTCAAAGCCAGGCTGGGCAGGAAAGTCCATGAGACTCTTTTCTCCAATTAAATCACAAGGAAAAGCTGGAAGTGCACTGTGGCTCCATTACATATATAGTGCACAAATCTTTTTTTTTTTTTTAATCGGTCATGAGGCTTGAACACTGGGCCTGGGCGCTGTCCCTCAGCTCTTCAGTTCAAGGCTAGCACTTTACTACTTGAACCACAGCACCACTTCTGATTTTCTGAGTGGTTTATTGGAGATAAGAGTCTCATAGACTTTCGTGCCGGGCTGGCTTTGAACTGCTATCCTCACATCTCAGCCTCATGAGTAGCTAGGATTACAGGCCTGAGCCACCAGCTCTTCAGCTCAAGGCTAGTGCCCTACCACTTGAGCCATAGCACTACTTCTGGCTTTTTTCTGCTTATGTGGTGCTGAGGAATCAAACCCAGGGCCTCATGTATGCAAGGCAAGCACTCTACCACTGAGCCAACTTCTCAGCCCCCCTGCACAATTCTTAAGTATAAAGCCTGATCATTTTTTACCCACGTGTTCTCCGTGTATCACAGATCAAAATGTAGGACATTCTGTCATACTAAAAAATTCCCTTGTGTCTTTTTCTAGTCAATATCCGTACACCAAAAGCACTTGTTATTCATCTAAATGTTATTGTATAGAATGAATCCTTTTTGTCTGTTTTTTCCACTAAGCATAATGTATTTGACAGCCATCTATGCCATTCTATGGCAGTTTGCTCTGTTTTTATCTTGGGTAGTATTCCATTATATAAATGTATCACTTGTTATTCACCCATTCTCCTTTTGATAGACATTCTGAGGTATATGTTAGTCAAGAGAGGATTGATTGCATATCAATCATATTTCTTAAAGTTTTATTAAAGCTGGGTGCCAGTGGCTCACGCCTGTAATTCTAGCTACTCAGGAGGCTGAGATTGGAGGATCACAGTTGAAAGCCATCGCTGGCAGGAAAGTTCATGAAACTCTTATCTCCTATTATGACCAGAAAACTAGAAGTAGCACTGTGGCTCAAAGTGGTAGAGTGCTAGCCTTGAGCAAAAGAGCTCAGGGACAGCACCCAGGCCCATAGTTCAAGCCCTACAACCAAAAAAAAAAAAAAAAAGGAGTAAAGATTGTAATGTAAAATCTGAAACTTCAAAACTACTATGGAGTAGCATAAGGAAAACACTTCAAGATATAGGCACAGACAATGCTTTCTGAATAGGAGTCAAATAGCTCAGGAAATAACAGCAAGAATCCACAAATGGGACTGTGTAAACTTCAAAAGCTTCTGTACAGCTGTTTAGGGGATACCAGTCAGTGGAATGGGGAAGGTGAAAAAACAGAGGTAAGCATGATCGAAGTATATTACATGCAGACATAAAAAATATCGTAATGAAACCCATTAAAACCTGTGAGAAAAAAACGTATGGGGAAAAAAGAAAAAAAAGAGAAAAAAACATACAAAAAATTATAATTATAGGAAGTGGCGCTGTGGCTTAAGCAGTAGAGCACTCGCCTTGAGCTGAAGAGCTGAGGGACAGCGCCCAGGCCCAGAGTTCAGGCTCCACGACCGGACCCAAAAAAAAAAAAAACAACAATTCATAAGTTTTAACTTGTGTGCCATTCTGAGTAGTATCCATTCCAGAATATGAATCATCCTTTGTTCTAGTATAGCCACACTGTATATACTATCTGCTCAAGAATCATGTAGTTGTCTCAGTTATCAGTCTAAAAATCATGGTGTCACAATGCTTATGGTCAAGGAACTCTAATTTTACATAATAATGGTCCCAAAGTGATGAAGTAGTAATGCAATAAGCCAGAGCATTAATCGTGAAAGGAAAGATTAACTCTAATACTGTGTGGCAACATTGCAGGTCGCATAGGGGAAAACATAGTATATACAGGGTTTGGTGCTATGTGAGGTTTTGGGCATCCACGGGGCACATGGAATAAAGCCAGCAAGTATCATATACTAATGTCAAAACTCTAGAAATATTCCCACTAGACTCAGAAACAAAAATTATCTGGCCAACAACTCTATTTTTTAACAATTGTTTAGCATACCAGAAAAAAACAGATTATTAGTAATGAATGTCAGTTAAAATATAGGGAAATAGGCACTTTCCTATACTGCTAACAAAGTAATAAAGTTTTTCTAGAGGGCAACTGAACAATACATATCAAAAAGTTTAGAATTATTTATATCCCTTAAACTGCTCAATTGTAGCTCCAGAAATGTATTATGAAGAAATGACCATGCAACTTCACTTGTTTGCAGAAATATTTATCTTAGTGTTAATAGGTGTAAAATGAGAAATTCTGGAGAAAATCCAAACGTGCTATGTTGGATAATTAGTTGAGGCAGAGTTTTATTTACCCAAGCAGGTGTCTTTCAACATGTTACTCAAATGATGAGTAGAGTGCTGACCATGAAGACAAATGGACTCCTGGCTAGAAAAATCTCTAGCCACCTAATTACTTTGCAGTTATATGAAATGTAGATGTATTTTTTAAGGAGTAGCAAGAACTGGAGATTGAGCCTAAACTTCACACCAAGCAAAAGACACACTCTACCATTGAGCTACACTTCAGCCACATCAAATATGATCACTTTTTATACCACAAGTTCTATGAGAATCAACATAAGAAATGTGTTGACTGACCACATATTCAGTCCTAGAAAAAAATCACTCTTTCCTCCCCAAAACAAAAGCTAAGAGTAAGTAAATCTAAAACATTACTCATCAGGGAGTCTTTTATTTATTCAGAAGAAGAGGCATAGTGTCTTTTTGCTGCCAACATGGTGCTGATTTTAGTATAGAGACATCTGTCAGCTGAGAGGTCCTACCATCTTCAATGAGGTTCACTTTGGTTAATTAGAAATACTAAAATAACATAGGAATAATTTGCTGGCTGAAAAGTATGAATAAATTATATAGAAGCCATAAGTAAACAGGACATTCACATTAGCTTTTCATAATGGCTCCTAACTCAACTTCTTAGTCTTGAAAACACTGCAAAGTCCAATGTGATGGATAGTCAGAATAAAACTCAATTGGAACCAGGCGCCAGTGGCTGAGATCTAAAGAGCACAATTCAAAGCCAGCCTGGGCAGGAAAGTCGGTGAGACTCTTACCTCCAATTAACCACCAGAAAACTGGAAGTAGTGCTGCAGTTCAAAGTGGTAAAGTGCTAGTCTTGAGCAAAAAAGCTCAGGGACAACACCTAAGCCCTGAATTGAAGCCCCGTGACTGACCTGGGTGGGAGGAGGGGACCAAGTTGGGCCTAACCCCACTAATCAATAGATAAGTAGTTCTCATACAACATGCTGTAGGGATAAGGGATCCATTTTCCTGAACTGTATGTATTTTAGCCATGCTAACATGAATACTTAAGTAGAAATAAGGGGTACATTTTTGGCCAAGGATGCAGTATGATCACGTAATAAATTGTTTTCTCTTGATGACCCATTTCAGAGTCTTTGGTGGAATCAGAGAGATAATAATGAACTACCCTTCTTTCAGATTCCAGGACACAGAGAATAGCTGTTCTCACCAGAATGAATGTTCTCACAAAAGGAGAACAGAACTCCTAGGATTATCTCCTCCTTAAGAAAGACAACCACATGATTGGTGATGGTTGCTGCTGGCTAGTGTAAGGTACTGGGGGAAAAAAATTGTACAAGACCTATGTCTATATAAATAATTTAATTCATCCAAAATCAGCACTATTCTAGTATCCAATTTCAATAATTCTATCAAAGAAATACCCTAGTAGCTAGAAGTGTCCAATCTCCATATCATTTTTCTGGAAATCAGATGAACTACAGGACCCTGGAATGACCCCATAACATGTATCCTACACTTCCTCAGAATATCTGACCAACAGCCTGTATGGGATAGAAATAGCCAGTTAGAAAATCAGATTTAAAATAGTTCAATTTTCAAAAGCATCAAAAAAAACATAAAATACTTAGGCATAAATTTCAGAAAACATATGCAAAATCTGGACACTGAAAAATTACAAGCATTTTAAGAGATATTAAAGAAGAGATATTGAAGATAAGATTAAGAGATATTAAAGAAGACCTAAATAAGTGGAGATTTATCCTGTGCATGGTTTGTAAGACTTCACACTACAGTGTCAATTGTCTTCAAATTGTCCTGAGTTAATATTAATTATTAAACAGACACTTCACAAACAAAGATATATGAAAGACTGATACCACATGAAAGAAAAAAAAAGCTCAATCGCACTACTTATAAAAATAATCATTTTTTGCTGGGCTCCAGTGGCTCACGCCTGTAATCCTAGCTACTCAGGAGGCTGAGATCTGAGGATTGTGGTTCAAAGCCAGCCTGGGCAGAAAAGTCCGTGAGACTCTGATCTCCAATAAACCACTAGAAAACCAGAAGTAGTGCTGTGGCTCAAGAGGTAGAGTGCTTGCCTTGAGCTGAAGAGTGCAGGGATAGTACCCTGGCCCAGAGTTCAATCCCCACAACTGACAAAAAAAAAAAATTGTATGCATACTGGTACTGGAGCTTGAACTCAGGGCCTAGGAACCGTCTCTTGCCTTTTTTGCTCAAGGCTTGAGCCACAGATTCACTTCCTCGTGTGTGTGTGTGTGTGTGTGTGTGTGTGTGTGTGTGTGTGTGTGTGTGTGTGTGTGTTTATGGTTATTTAAGAAGAGTCTCATAGAATTTCCTGCCTGGGCTGGCTTCAAACTGCAATTGTCAGATTGCAATTGTCAGATCTCAGCCTCCTGAATAGCTAGGATTACAGATGTGACCGACTAGCACCTGACTAGAAACAAATTTAAGTCATTATGAGTTACCACTCAACATTAACTAGATTGGCTAACTGATATATAAAATAAAAAAAAGTGTCATCAAATATCAGAAGTGATAAGGGACAAACTGAACTTCCATATAGTTTTGGTGGAAAAATAAAATGAAACAACCACCTTGGTTTGGCAATGTCTTATAAAGCCAAACATAAGCCTACCCCTTGGTCTGTAATTTCACTGCTAAGTATTTAGCCAGAAGAAATTAAGACACATCCACAAGATTTGTACAAGAGTATTTATGGCAGCTTTATTCACAACAGCGTATTAAACAAGCTAGACATGCTTC